GGTGCAGTACCTGAGAGAGCAGTCTCTGTGGGTGCTGTACCTGAGAGAGCAGACTCACAAGCAGTAGGGACAGTACTGGAGGGAGCAGCCACAGAGGGCACCAGACCAGAGAGAGCAGACTCACTAGTACCCAGGGCAGCGGGCTCTATACCTGGGTCAGGCGGCACACACAAGTAACAGTCTCCCTCGGCACTAACAGTCAATGCATACATGGCAGCAATAATAGCATCATAGTCAAGAGCAAAGATATCAACACCAGCCCTCATCAGCTCAGCCCAGCGGGGGCGCTCAACATCCTCGCCCATCTCCTCACGCCAAGCATCGTCAAGGCGGGAGAAGCAGCGGTACGGGGTGTGGAACCTCCCACACGTCTGTCCCTTGCGGTCACCTGTGCGAATGACATAGGAACAGCGGCCACTGCCCCCCGACGTCCCACGCTGAGCAAGCCACTCACGAAGCTGCTGGGTCGTCTGGGGACGCTGCTGCTGGTGGGAGCTCTGGCCCGAGCCAGTGCCTCCACTCCGACCTCCGCCGCCACCACTACCTCCGCTCCGACCGCCACCGCCGCCACCGCCACCGCCGCCGCCGCCGCCACCGCCGCCGCCGCCACCACCGCCACCGCTCCCTCCGCCGCCCCCGCCTCCGCTGCCGACCCCACTCCCACCAGCACTCCCGCCACCGCTCCCTCCAGCACCGCCTCCCCCCCCACCTCCCCCACCTCCTCCCCCCCCAGCGCCACCCCCGCCACCCTTGCCCCCCTTGCCCTTGCCGGTGCGGCGCCTCCCACCAGGAGCAGAAGCAGCGCCAGCAGACTCAGCACCAAGGAAGTCAACAGCAGCAGCAGTAGCGTAGGAGGGAGCGAGGGGAGAGGGAGAACACCCCTCAAAGATGGGGGTGCGAGGAGCGCCACGAGCAGCACCTACAGCTACAATGCTCTTCTCGGCTGCTAGCAGTTTCTCCTCTAGGAGGGCGACAGTGAGCTCAGTGGGACAGCGAGCAAGGAAATAGTCGCGCACTGAGCTAAGGGTGTCAGGGAGACGGGTGACTAGAAAGTGGAGTGTCCAGTACAGTGGAGGGGGGTTCTTAGCGCAGAACTCGGTGGGAAGGGCGGCACGCAGGCGAGCGTCACTAGTGCGAAGGTGGGTGATAAGATCGGCAACTGTAGCAAAGGTGGACAGCTCAGGGAACAGGTAAGGCAGCATGAGGCGGCTAAGCTCGGCTGTGGCAGGTGAGGAATAGCGGGCAACGACAGCGTCGTACAGGGCCTTAGCGGTTTTGCAGTCGCCAAAATGCTCGAGCTCAGCTAACGGCAGGTGACTGCGAATGGCTAGGCGAGCAGCTGCGTCACGAGTCTGCTAGTGGGAACGAACACTAAGCTCTGCTGTGGCAGGAGGGGCAGGTGCAGCACCAGACGCGTAATCATAGAGCGACACATGCTCCTTGCTATCGCTCAGGAGGAACAGCTGCAGGTCATCTAGCCAAGTGGTGAACTGCACAGGGCGGCCCTCAGCATCGAACGAAAGCACGCGGATGGAAGCCATAACGACAGTACGGCAGAGCAACGCAAGCTACCACAGCAGGGGCGGGCAATTGCGCACGGGCAGGGAGCAGCAGGCGGCGCTGCAAGCGGGCAGCGCGGCGGGCGGGCGGCTCTGCAAGTGGGCAGCGCGGCAGGCAGGCGGCGCTGCAGGCGGGCAGCGCGACAGGCGGGCGACTCCGCAAGCGGGCAGCACGGCGGGCGGGCGGGCAGCGCGACGGACGGCGTGGGGCAAAGCGGGCGGCGCGCGGGGCTGCAGAGCCGAGCGACGAGCAGCGCGGGGCAGGGCGGGCGGGTCGCGGGGCTGCGCAGCAGATCGACGGGCGGCTCGGGGCACAGCGGGCGGTGCGCGGGGCTGCGAGGCAGCGCGACGGGCAGCGCGGGGCAGAGCGGGCGGCGCGACGGGCAAAGCAGGGGAGGCGCGCGGGGCTCTGGGCTGGCAGGACGCCGGTCGGCAGGGCGCACGAGGGCGCTACAAAGGGCGCTACGAGGGCGCTAGAGCGCAACGAGGGCGCTACGAGGGTAGGGCGCGGGGGTAACGCGGTAACCGCAGCGTGCGGTGGTGGGCCCTAAAAAAAAAACGATCGGATGGTCCTAGGGACCACCTGCTCTGATACCATATCAAAATACTAGCGTGAGAATCGTGCATTGAATGAAACAGTTGGGTACAAGTAGCTAACCCTAGTTGGGTTGTACCCCATACTGGCTACCCCACTACAGCCTACCAACATATAACAGTTTAACACAGTGTGCTATTTATTATTCGAAAAACGTACCGTATCTTCTCTGCTGATGTATAACATAGCGCACTGATATTACCTCTTCAACTTCTGTTTTCCAGTAATTTGTGAACTCATGGATATGGATAGAAAGAGGAAAAGGGAAAGAGGGAGAAGGAAAAGGGAAAGAAAGACACCAGAAACAACTCAAACGCAACACCCATAAAAAGCCCCATAAAAATACTCCATAAAGAAAAAAACCCAACCAGGATCCCCTACCAGACGTCCCATCTCGCACCCCATTCCCCCTCGCCCCCCCCCTTCCTCCCCCAAGTCACATCTGCACATCCACCATGTAGGGGGCCTCCACCCAAAGAGGCCCGCCCTCCACCTCGACATCGTCCCTCTCCCGATCCACCAAGTCCACATTCAACCCCCCCATGGAAGACGCCGCCCGAAGCAGGATGACACGAGCTTGCGCCCGTTGTAACGCCACTCCGATGAGCGCCTTCAGAGACCCCAAAAGGTAAGCCGAGAACGAAGTGTCATCCTCCCGACAAGCCCCCCGTGACACAGCTAAACTTTTCCTGATATGAGGTTTTAACGAGTCTGTCAATTTACAGGTGGGAGGACCAATCTTGATACGAAGTGGCCTTGATATGGGGCCGCAGGAATACGCTCTTAGAGAGAAGAAAAGTTGCTACAGTGGTTCAGTGTGCTATTTATTATTCGAAAAACGTACCGTATCTTCTCTGCTGATGTATAACATAGCGCACTGATATTACCTGTTCAAGTTCTGTTATGTGCATCATCACTTAACATCTAATTTATTCCAAAATATATATGTTAAGCGCTTATGGTGTGAAGAGTGAGCTGTACGGAGGAGGCCACAATAACCGACGAAAGCTCTCCTCTGTTGCAAGCAGATGTTTATAACGAGTCATGCTAGCCGCTCCTCTCCCCGGTCACTCCTGTCCCGCCCTTCCCCACCCCGCCCATTTAGCAGTGGCCGCGGCTGGATCAGCGATGGTATGCTCTGCTTTTGCCAGCCACGCCGCAACACCTGCTGCCCACCACGCTCTCGACTCTCGACGGTGCGGCGCGGCGACCGCCATGGTTGGAATTCGCCGTACCGCAGAAGCTCCCCCGTTCAGTTCCCGCTAGCTTTGCTCCGCTCCCGTTCACACCCACTAATCCCAGCGGCTTTTCTATAATCCCAGCGTTCTTTTTCTAGAAATATCGGTACTTTTTTCTTCTTCTTCTTCTTCTTCTTCTTTAGGCAAAAAGCCGCCGATCCTTGACATCGCATCTATTCCGCGCGGATGGCGGCGTCCGCTCCGGCGCCGTTGCACCTCTACCGCCGCATCCTGCGCTTGGCGCGGCGCCTTCCCGCGGACGCGCGGCCGTACTACGCGCAGTACGCGCGGGAGAACTTCGCGGCGTTCCGCGACGAGAGCGACGCGGAGCGCGCGGCGGAGATGGCGCGGCGGGGCGCGGAGCACACCAAGTGGGTGGCGCGAAAGGTGGGGCTTGACGGATTCCGTCTGAATGACGTGGCATGGTGTCATGGTGACATGGTGGCATGGGGGCATGGGGGCATGGGGGCATGGAGGCATGGAGGCATGGGGGCATGGGGGCATGGAGGCATGGTGACATGGGGGTGGTGTGATTACACCGTGACATGATGGCATAGGGGCGTGGGGTCATGGTGGCATGGGGGCATGGGGGCATGGTTGCATGGTGGCATGGGGGCATGGTTGCATGGTGGCATGGTGGCATGGGGACATGGTGGCATGGTGGTGAGGCTCTGGTGCTTGTTTAGGGCCGGTTCGAGTTCTCAGTAGCCAACATCTACCGTATTTGGGATGAGCTGACCAGTTGGAATAAGCTCTAAACGTCAACCGAGGCCAGGCAGACAGCAGCTTGCTGACGCCTGTGCATTGTGGGTGGTCACTTAAGGCGCAGATCCTCTGACATAGTTCCAGCGCCTAAGCGCCTGAGCGCCTGAGCGCCTGAGCGCCTCAAAGGGTGTGTATTGTGGGTTGACAGTGTTTCCAGGGATGAACCCTGGGGAGAGAGAGCAGCCTGCTGACTTGATGGCTGTGTTTTGTGGGTGGACTGTGTCCCCCACATGATTCCATTCTTTCACTCTGCCAGGTTTCTTAATCTCAGAATACACGCAATACCTTCATACTGCAACCTTGTGTGCTGCTGTTCACATCTTGCCAGTCATCTCATGCGCTGCATGCATACATCTCTCACATGCTCTTCCACCAAACTGCTCCCTTGCCTCTCCCTCTCAGTTTAAAATGGACGAGCAACTAGTGGAGAAGGTGTTGGAGGGCCTGTGAATCTGTGATTGAGTAAATGCTGTGGATGCATTTACATACGGTAGGGTATGTCAGCCAACAAAGAGTAGAATCACACTGATGTCAATGCAAAGCATTTTTCCAGTGTACTGGTACGTAGTGGGAGGGATACGAGATCGGAGATGACTAGACTAGGAATGTGCCCTCATGTAATCAGCACTGTACCATTATACGGTACTCGCTTTATTTCTTTGCTGACTGATCAACCAACACTGAACCCCTCGAGAAGTTGAACCTGGTGGTACCACACCACATCCCATAACCCATCACACACACCCATTTTAAGTGGCCAGAAACAAAAATGCATAAAATACATGAACAGTCCGGCAGTCTAGCACACACTGTACAGTGTGCAGTGCACTACACCCCACTAGCCTACACGAGGCGCATATCACACTTGGGGCCTGTGCAGTATGAGAATGGAAAGCTGTTAGGCACAACCAGTGCCTCGGTTGTCAGAGTTATGTTGTTACCAGACGGCCGCAACGGTGGGAATTCCACCTCCACAAAAATAGCTTTGTAGCCGACCTGGTCGAGACAGGGAGGGAGGGGATGGGAAACCAGGGGAAAAGGGGAGCGGTTGGTTGAGATAATGAAATCACGAGGCAGGCTGACACATGTACATGCCTGCACAGCCATGTGGAAATTCAAGGTGGTGTGGTGTGGGCGGGGTAGTGCTAAAGGTGGTCATGGTGTGTTTCGAGTCGACTCAACGGCAAGCCGCATGGCCTGGTGGGAAAGGTATCGTCACAGCACCTCAAATGGCAAGCACACAGAGACAGGTCGGTACCTTGGGGAAGTTAGTGATGCGAGCGCGGAAGTGCCAGAGGCGGTCAAGGGCGCTGTAGGAGGGGCGCACAGGCACTGGCTGGAAGAGCACTGCTTGGGGACACAGGTCGCCTAGCAGGGGCACCTGAGTCACCTTGAGGAAGCTGCGGGAGAGAGGGGGGGGATTGGAAGGGGTGGAAGGGTGTGGAGAGGGGTGAATGGTGTAGCAGGAGAAGGCTTTGTGGGTTCGCACAGAGCAGTGCCTGCGGACACAGGTCGCCTAGCAAGGGCACCTGGGTGACCCTCTAGGAACCTGCAAGTCAGATATGATGCATGACGCTTTCCAGTGGACATCTAGAAACATCCCCCCCTACTCACCAAGTGGCCGAGGCCCCTCCCACGATGGAACGATTCAGTACAAGTCACTTATGATGCTTCTAGTGGACATCTAGAGATAGAAACATCATCCCCCCCTACTCACCAAGTGGCCGAGGCCCCTCCAACGATCCACCGGAAGTCCCGGCGCACATAGCGGCGAGCAGAGCGGGAATACCTGGGGAGGGAGGGAGCGATGAGGGTGGGAGCGAGGAACAGAGTGGGGAGGGAGGGATGAGGAGGCTGACCCGGCGCACATAGCGATGAGCAGAGCGGGAATACCTGCGAGGGAGGGACTGACGAGGGTGGGAAGGAGGAACAGAGTCGGGGGGGAGGGGTGAGGTGAAGAGGACGCCAGTACCACTCGCCATGCCTTTTGCGGCGCCTCAAAGCCACTCACCACGCCACGCCCTGATTTTGGCAGACAGCTGTCAAGTCGACTCAAGTGCCATCCTAAAAGCCGTTCTTAGGCTCACAGCAGTATGCCACACTACCGCATCCCACCGCTCACCACGCCCTGATCTTGGTGGGGGAACGATCAGTAGCGCCCTCAACTGCAGCGCCATTGATGTTCATCCAAGTGCCACGTGAGGTGCGGCCGGTCTGGCTGTGAAAGCCCGAAAATCAATCAGAAATCACCCACCACCCACACCCCTACAACACACCCCTACTACCACGCCCTACAGCAACCGACCACATACAACCACTCACCACGCCCTGATCTTGGTAGGGCGTCGGTCCATAGTCCCCTCAATGGCAGCACCGGGCATGTCAAGGTACCGAGCTGCGGCCAGTCGGGCTGTGAACCCCACGACAACTCACAAGTCACTCATACCCCGCACCCCACTACACCGCACCACACCCCACCACACCCTACCACACCCCACCACTCACCACGCCCTGATCTTGGTGGGGCGTCGGTCTGTAGTCCCCTCAATGGCAGCACCGGGCATGTCCAGGTACCATGTGAGCTGCGGCCAGTCGGGCTGTGAACCCCACGATCGGGCGCTGAGAGGGCGACCGGTGCTGCTGGCTGCTGCTGCTGCTGCTGACGCTGCTGCTGCTGCTGCTGCTGCTTCGACTGCCGCTGCTTCTGCTGTTTGCGATGCAGGTGGTGATGAAGGTGATGACGGTGGGGCTGCTGATGGTGGTGATGTTGATGCTGGTGGTGGTGATGGCGAGGCGGAGGAGTAGAGTGTGGGAGGCGGTGGAGAGGGAGGCAGAGCGGTGGAGAAGACAATGGAGGAGTAGAAAGGGATGCCGGAAAGAATCACCTGGCGCGGGACGGAACACAAGGGAAACGAACAGGAAGGAGGGAGGTCAAGCAAAGATCATGTGAGAGTAGGTAAAGAAGTCATTTCGACTGGGATGCAGTCAGTAGCAAAGGAACGCTGTAGGTGGGCAATCCAATGGCGCCAAAACCCCTCTATCCCTCCGTCCCCCCTCCATCCTCCTCACCTCTGGGGTTGTTCCACAGCAGCATGTGCTCCTGGTTCGTTCCAAGTCAACTCAAAACACTCTCCTCCCTGCCTCTCACTCTCCCTCCGCCCACACCCTACCCCTTCCCGGCCTCCTCCCCTCACCTCGGGGTTGTTCTGCAGCAGCATGTGCTCGTGTTCCCTTCCCGGCCAACTCAATTCACTCTCAGCTCTGCTTCACCCTCGTCCCCTTCCCCACCCTCACGCCCTACCCCCCAATCTCACCTCGGGGTTGTTCTGCAGCAGCATGTGCTCCTGGTTGGGCATAATCCGCAGAAACTTGGGGTCGGGCATATCCCAGTAGAAGTAGTAGCTGCGGAGGGGAACACGGGGGAAGAAGAGGGAAGGAGGGGATGTGGGGGAAGGAGGGAAGAGGGCACCACATGGCAAGACAGAACAATCTTGGGGTCTGGCATGTCCCAGAACGGTCTAAAGGTTCTATGCCCCATCATTCCCCCGTGACACACATACCCCAGGCCCATGGCGCACATGCCCCAGGCCCACAACACCAATGCCCCAAGACCCCATGAGCCCATGATTCACGTGTCATCAATAATGAACAACTCGTCATTGGCGCCAAACAGCAGCAGCTTCGCTTCCAGATGCGCATGTAGAATTGCCCCATGCCCCGTGCCCCATCACCCATGCCCCATGGCACACATGCCCGTGCCCCATACCCCATACCCCATACCCCATACCCCATACCCCATACCCCATGCCCCACGCCCCACGCCCCATGCCCCATGCCCAATGCCCATGCCCAATGCCCATGCCCAATGCCCATGCCCAATGCCCATGCCCCATGCCCATGCCCCATGCCCATGCCCCATGGCACACATGCCCATGACTCACGTGTCATCGAACCCGAAGAACTCGTCATTGGCGCCAAACAGCAGCAGCTTCGGACTTACGAGGCGCATTGAACGGCCTTTGCCCCATGTCCCATGGCCCCCAATGCCCCATGCCCCGCATGCCCATGACTCACGTGTCATCAATCACGAAGAACTCGTCGTTGGCGCCAAACAGCAGCAGCTTCGGACTTAGAGAGGCGCATTGATAAGTGGCCCCCCTTCTTCCATGCCCCTCCATGCCCCTCCATGCCCCCCCAGCCTCATATGACTCACGTGTCATCGATCATGAAGAACTCGTCGTTGGCGCCAAACAGCAGCAGCTTCGGCATGCTGTAGCGCTGCCGGTACCTGTACGGGTCCGTGATGGCCTGGTGGGTTGCGGTGGGGGAGAGGTTAGGAGCATGGGGGGTTTGGTGATGTCTTTGAACGTGGCATGCTGTAGCGCTGCCGGTACCTGTATGGGTCCGTGATGGCCTGGTGGGTTGCGGTGGGCGGGATGGGGAGAGACTGGGGATGCATGAGGGTTGGATGGAAAGGACATGCCAGCTTCGGCATGCTGTAGCGGTTCCGGTACCTGTACGGGTCCGTGATGGCCTGATGGGTTGGGGTGGGAGGGACGGGGAGAGATGGCAGGAACTAGGGGAGTTGCATGCAAGGGACATACAGTAGCGGTTCCGGTACCTGTACGGGTCCGTGATGGGCTGCCGTGTTGCAGTGGTGAAGCGGTGGGGGAGAGGTGGGGGAGAGGATAGGGGGAGGAGGGGAGAATGGGGGGTTTGGTGGCATCTTGAAACGTGGCATGCTGTAGCGGTTCCGGTACCGTCCGTGATGGCCTGCCGTGTTGCGGTGGGGAGGTGGGGAGAGGTGGGTGAGAGGTATGGGAGCAGTTGAGCTTTCATGTTCACTCACTCACTCGCTCACTCACTCACTCACTCCCTCACTCACTCACTCACTCACTCACTCACTCACTCCCTCACGCACGCACTCACCACGAGCTTCTGCATGTTGGGTCTGAGCATGTTCTTGGTAACGCCATTGGCCACGTAGGGCTTGAACGTGATGGGCCAGCCGCCCAGCGACTGGTAGTAGTGCTTTAACGAGGCAACGAAGTTGATTGCTCCCGCCCCCACCGGCAGCAGCGCCACCACTCGCTGGGGGCGATAGGGGAAGGGGAGGTTAGGGTGGAGAAAGGGAAGAGGGGGAGAGAGAGTGGGGCGGGAGGTGAGAATCTATTCTTTGCCTCAAATGAAGGGCTTGAAGGTGATGGGCCAGCCGCCCAGCGACTGGTAGTAGTGCTTCAACGAGGCCACGAAGTTGATTGCCCCCGCTCCCACCGGCAGCAGCGCCACCACCCGCTGGGGTGACAGAGGAGGGGGAATGGGGGAGAGAGGAGGGGGGGTGGGGGGAATCTATTCTTGAGACGGCTGAGAAATAGGGCTTGAAAGTGATGGGCCAGCCGCCCAGCGACTGGTAGTAGTGCTTCAACGAGGCCACGAAGTTGATTGCTCCCGCTCCCACCGGCAGCAGCGTCACCACTCACTGGGGTGATGGGGAGGCAACTGGGGCAGAACAGGGCGCCAGAGAATAGCTGTGTTCTCCCCACAGGTTCAGTGCTTCAATTCAAGCTGCATCTCCCCACGCCCCTGCAGATCCTCTCGTGCCCACACGTTGAACCCCTCTATTCCCCCTCCTCCGCCCTCTTTCCCTCCCTGCCACCTACCTTATCCACCGCTGCTACAGCCCAGACGCCGCAATCCCTCTCTTGCTCTAGCCCCTCAGCACTAAGTCATTTTCCGCCCCCCTGCCCGTCCCCCACTCCTCCACACCACCTACCTTATCCACTGCTGCTAGAGCCTATGATGCCAGCCCTCTCTTGCTCACACATTATCTACCTTTCGTTTCGTCTCCTAGCCCGCCCTCCACCCCTCCCTCCCACCTACCTTATCCACTGCCGCTACAGCCCATGACGCCAGCCCTCGCTTGCTCACGCCTGCCACTGCAAAGCGTTGCACCTGGGTGTTGTGAAGTGAACAGACGGGGGGCGGAAGAAGGGGGTACGTGAAACCTCTGGAAAAGAGAAGCAAGGCTGGAAGATCTTTTGCGAGAGGAGGCATAAAGCAAGAACCCAAGAGAACAACGCAACCCTGACTGTTGACCGACAAAAGTTAAAACAAAAGCAAGCGAAAAGGTAGAACGCAGATGGACAGCAGTCTCAGCTCAGCAGGTGAAAATGAATATCGTTTTCTGCTTCAGGTTCTAAGAACACGCGAAATAGGCAGCATTCGGAGGGTCGCCCTTACTCATAGGGCGGCGTTCAGGGGGACAGCACTCACAGAGAGGGAGGGGAAGCAGACCGGGATGGCCTCTTGAGCCGCGTCCATGGCTCTCTCTTGACAGCGAGGGAGGGCAAGAAGAGCGCACTCACAGCGAGGGAGGGGAAGAAGAGCGCACTCACAGCGAGGGAGGGGAAGAAGAGCGCACTCACAGCGAGGGAGGGGAAGAAGAGCGCACTCACAGCGAGGGAGGGGAAGAAGAGCGCACTCACAGCGAGGGAGGGGAAGAAGAGCGCACTCACAGCGAGGGAGGGGAAGAAGAGCGCACTCACAGCGAGGGAGGGGAAGAAGAGCGCACTCACAGCGAGGGAGGGGAAGAAGAGCGCACTCACAGCGAGGGAGGGGAAGAAGAGCGCACTCACAGCGAGGGAGGGGAAGAAGAGCGCACTCACAGCGAGGGAGGGGAAGAAGAGCGCACTCACAGCGAGGGAGGGGAAGAAGAGCGCACTCACAGCGAGGGAGGGGAAGAAGAGCGCACTCACAGCGAGGGAGGGGAAGAAGAGCGCACTCACAGCGAGGGAGGGGAAGAAGAGCGCACTCACAGCGAGGGAGGGGAAGAAGAGCGCACTCACAGCGAGGGAGGGGAAGAAGAGCGCACTCACAGCGAGGGAGGGGAAGAAGAGCGCACTCACAGCGAGGGAGGGGAAGAAGAGCGCACTCACAGCGAGGGAGGGGAAGAAGAGCGCACTCACAGCGAGGGAGGGGAAGAAGAGCGCACTCACAGCGAGGGAGGGGAAGAAGAGCGCACTCACAGCGAGGGAGGGGAAGAAGAGCGCACTCACAGCGAGGGAGGGGAAGAAGAGCGCACTCACAGCGAGGGAGGGGAAGAAAACAGGGACGGCCTCTTGAACCGCGTCCATGGCTCTCACTCCCGCCTTGGCCATGGGCAGTGTTGCGGGCCAATCCGAGTCCGAGGGGTTCAGCAGGAACTGACGCCACGTGGCTGCTTGGGAGAGGTGGTTGGTTGGACAGGGAGAGGTGGTTGGTGCATGCACGTACTGGTTGACTGGTCAATGTCATCTGCCCTCTTGCAAGAAAGAATTGGTCAACTGGTCAAAGAGCCATCTGTTTCCGTAGGCCAACACACTTGTCCTTGTTTCTTTTATAACTGTCCACTTTCCCTGCGTTTGCACCTACCCACCCTCCTAGCGTACGTTTGAGTTGTTAGGAAACCCCCCCAGTCTGAGGGTATGAACAAACCCAACCATTGCACCGGCAGCCCAAGCGTACAAACCTACCCAACCATCCCGCCTCTCCGGCGCACCTGCAACGAGCGAGTCCTCTGAGAGGGATAATTCCGTGGTGCCGTTGGTGCGGACGGTGCACGGCTGGTTGGGCACCTAAAACAGCACCGCGCCTAGCATGCCCGCCTGCACTGCTGCTTCATACAATCCCAATCAGCCCCCCGTAGCATCCCTTTCACCCCCCCTCCCCCCCCTCTCCCTCCCCACACCACCAGCGGCGCACCTGCAACGAGCGAGTCCTCTGAGAGGGACGCCTCTGTGGTGCCGTTGGTGCGGACGGTGCACGGCTGGTTGGGCACCTGGAACAGCACGGCGCCTAGCGTGCCCGCCTGCACTGCAAGCCTGTGAGAGGAAACACACAGATTGGAGAGAAAGCGAGGGCGTAACGGACAAGGTAGAATGGTGAAAACGGTGAGAAGAAACAGGGCTCAGTTAGATTTCTATGAGTTGGTCACAGAGAGTGCCTGACTGCAAAAGGTTGGAGTTAACCAGGGGTAAGGTGGATTCAGCGCACAAGAACGCAACATTCTGGCTTGACGGGGAAAGGTGGGGGTTGTGGGGGAGACTGCTTACGCGGCGGCAATGAAAACAAAGCTATCGTCGGCTTGAGGCAGCAGTCCTTCATAGCCAAGTGAAGAGATATACGCTTTGAGACGCCTCAACACAGATCTAACTTCACGGGGGGAGGCGGAAATTGTGGGGGAGAGAGACTGAGACTGCTTACGCGGCGGCAATGACAACGAAGCTATCGTCGGCTTGAGGCAGCAGGCCTGCATCCACAATCTTCGGACCTGCACCTTCCGTTCCCATCCCTGCTCCCCCATCCGTCCCGCCCCCTGCTTCCCCGTCGTTCCGTGCGCTCGCACCCCTCCTAGCCCCGACGGTCCAAACAGGACCATTGTCGTCTTCCCCCGGATCCGCGTCCGCGGGACCGTCCGCGTCCCCCCCGCCTCCCCCTCCCCCTGACGCGCCCGAGTTCCGCCCCGCCGCCAGCATCAGCAGCGCCGTGCCCCGAGGCGCATTGGGCATGCGCCTGGGGACCTGAGGGCGGAGGGGGGTCAGATGATGCGGCGATTGGTGGGAGCGAATGAAGAGAGGTGGAAGACGGAAGGACAGGAGAGAGCGTGAGAGAGAGAGCAAATGACAGCATGGGGAGGAGGCAGCTGGGTACGGATGGGGAAAACATAGCGAAAGCGGAAACGGGGATCGATGGGGAAATGATGACGGTAACAAACAGTCCCACGAAGTATGAGAGGCGTTCTGAGGGACGTAGAAAGGAAGGATTGGGGAGCCAAACGAGCCAGGGGCAGCAGGCGGTGCGACCAGAGGCAGCAGGCGTTTGTGTTTAAGGCGTCTCTCGGAAAGGAAACCCAACGCACCAGTAGCAGCAGGTAGTGCCACCAGAGGCAGCAGGCGTTTGTGTTTAAGGCGTCTCTCAGAAAGGAAACCCAACGCACCAGTAGCAGCAGGTAGTGCCACCAGATGCTGCAGGCGTTTGTGTTTAAGGCGTCTCTCGGAAAGGGAACCCAACGCACCAGTAGCAGCAGGTAGTGCCACCAGAGGCAGCAGGCGTTTGTGTTTAAGGCGTCTCTCAGAAAGGAAACCCAACGCACCAGTAGCAGCAGGTAGTGCCACCAGATGCTGCAGGCGTTTGTGTTTAAGGCGTCTCTCGGAAAGGGAACCCAACGCACCAGTAGCAGCAGGTAGTGCCACCAGATGCTGCAGGAGGTGACAGAGGCATTGAGCCATCGCTGCGACGTCATGTTGAGCACGATGCCCGTCCACTCGCCGCCGCCGTACCGCGCGTCCACCCTCCCCTGTATGCGGAACCCCGTGTCGTACCAGCTGTTGGTCAACGATGCGCGCAATGATTCAGTCGGTGATATGGTAGATGATGGAAAGAGGGGGACGGAGGAGGATGGCATGAAAGCTGGACCGTGAAAACAAAGACTGTGAAACGAGGATGCAAGAAAACCGGTGGAGAAATGCGCAGTTGATGCGCGTTACTCGGTTCGCAAGAAACACACATAGCCCAGCCCGAGTCTTGAGGTTCCCGAGTACAGGAACGAATTTTGGAAGGAAGAGGGGCACCTTCGGCGCTCGTAAATAAAACAGCGAGAACCGGGAGGGAGAAATTCCAAAGTTACTGGAGCTGAGAAGGTGCAGAAGCCTAGTCACGACCAGCGCTAGTGAACGACGTACTTATAACTGTCATCTTCCCGTGCGACATAGTCGTCGAGAGCCGTGCGGTTGTCGCACACTCGCATGTTCCCGCAATCGCTCGACGCCTCTTCGTTCAGCTCCCGCATGCTCCGTTGCTGCCAATGACCTCTAAGAACGGACTCCGACCTGCTGACCCTGTCCCCATGCGAGGCTGCTTTGTTCCCTACTGCGAGAGCCGGAGTTAAGGCGGAGCTAAGGAGGAGAGCAGAGATTGCTACAGAAAGAGCGAAGCGAAACCCCATACATCCGTGAGTGCGACAGGTGGCCCAGTCTAGAGTCAAAGAGTCTGTGTTTAGAGTGTCTGAGGCGACGGCGGAACTTATTGGAACAGCTAGGCTCTCACAAACAGTTCCGCATCCAGATTATTCCAATCTACCCTGGCTATTGCAGTCCCCACCAGTTTAAGTGGCCAGTTCTAAAAGGTCAGACTAAATAGTGATGCCTGCTAACGAAGTCCTACGCGAAAGCCTACAGTAATGGACAAGCGACGCTTGCTCCCTACCGACAAACTCTACAGCAGCCTGTTCTAGTGTATAACCGCCCATGCGAAAACGGATACCACCTCGATGACCAAGACCCATGTTTGTTTTCTAGAGCCCGCCTTTTCATGTATTGGGGCCCAAGATTGTGGCGGGACGAGAATCTTCATCAGTCGGAGCCACTAGATACTGCGAAGCAGGATTATCATCGCGACCGGCTCGCGGTAAGTCTTCACGGCCGTCACAGCCATGCTTGTACTGACTAAATGATTTGTGGACGGAGGCGAAAAACTGCTGCTGGTCGGTTTGACATCACTTGCATTGGAAGGCTTGCGTTGGAAGCGAGAGCATGCATTTCCAGGGCCGACCTGAGAATCTCAATCTTGCAAGCCTTTCACCTCGAGAGGGGATTTATGAATGGTCAATATACTCAATTAGACGGCGAGGATTGTCTCGATCTTGCAAATTCTCTCTAGAAACCCGCCGCGGTAAAGTCCTCCCGCCAGTCAGAAACGAGAAAATCCCTTCTCCATACCTCGACTCGACACCGAACCAGGTCGAGGGGTTTTGTTTCGATGCCGCCGCGTGGTCACCAAATTCCTTCAAACAAATGTAACCGTTGCATTCGCGCCAAAACATCAAGGCCCCGAAGAGCAAAACAGCGTGTAGAGAATACCCGCCAGCAAAACAGGTCGCTAAAGGAATGCGCCATTTTCATAATGGCGCATTCCTTCACGCTTATTTTGTTTTGCGTAATGTTTAAAGCATTTGTTGGGGATTATCTCGATATAAGTCTAATACAGTACCCCAGGTCCTCAAGCACAATGAAAACCCATAATAATTCAGAGAGATATACTATTAGTATAGGAGCTATAGCTAAGTGTATACAATTAGACATTATGGTATCACGACTCTAAGAACTGACAGTTTTGCTACGTCACGAAGTGCCTACAATCTCCTCAATTACTCCTTTTTGTTGGCCGGGATCACAAGTGCAGGCTCACTCTCCCAGGCCGTATAAAGCAAATCCACCCAGGCGTCAGGAACTCCTGGCAAGCACCAGTGCCTGCAATCCCCTCTCTCTGCAACCTGCCCCGCAGGCAAGCCTCCCTTCGCCCCAAACTGCCCCACATGCCCATCCGGCCTGGCTGCAGAAATTTCGGTAATATCTATAAGCCTGACAGGAGTCGGGAAAGAGAACACCTGGCGCTGTGCTGCTTCGTAAGTGATTGCGCTGGCTGCCTGGTTGTTGAGAAAGGCCTTTGCTGCGGATTGGTTGAGGGGGAGGCTGTAACCGCATGCGCCAGGCATGGAGGCGTAGCGGGGCTCAAACTTGTGCTGGGGGGAGAAGGAGATATAGTACGAGAGCAGGCTTGACCTGGGTGGGGTTGCACGGGTGTGGGGAATGGGCGGAGAGGGGAGGGGGTTTGGCGGGGAAAGAGGAAACAACGAGGGAGGGAGGGATGAGGGTAGACAAAAACAACTGGACTGGAACACTAAACGGGTGAATGGGGAGGAGCAAACGGTGCCTAAGAAACACCCGCATATTTGGATACAAATAACGAGGACGACTCAACTGCCTGCATGAGGAAGGAGAACGCGAATTCAAGAGCAACGACCAGCCCTTACCAGGTTTAGTATGCCCATGCACTTACTTGTGTTTCAGCAGCAGTTCTCGCACTGTGTACAGCGACTTCTTGTACGCGTTTAAGTCAGAGTACAGTACATCCACGCCTTGCATCTTGTAAATGTTCGTAGCCTTCCTTCCAGGAACGTTCGCCTGCCACCACATCCCGCTCGTCAGCACCACCGCATCCGCTTTAGAAACGGCTGCGCTTAAAACGGGGTCCACTACATCAATGTCAACAGTGTAGCCGTGTCTGCCTCCGTGCAGGGGGTCTCGCCCTTCGCTTCTCGTCGCCTTGGTAAGGTAGGATGAGAAGTGGTATAATATGGTCGTGTTGGATAGGGGTAGGTGGAAGCCTGTGAATTTCGCCTCGGGACCCAGTCGTTGTTGCACGGGCTGTGGAGGGTTAACAGAGAAAGGAGGGGGGGGAATCGGAAGGAAGGAGGAAGGTTGGACCTTATATGCGAGGAAATAGCAAGGTCACCAAGGCGAGGGTTGTGTGGAGTAAAAATGACGAAGTCAAAAACGGCATGTGTCCAGTGTGTGGGAGGGAGAAAACAACACCGGGCTGGGAGAAAACTGCACTTGGTGGGGTTCAATGGCCAGCAATAAGTGGCGAACCTGCACTAACCTACATCGGATGCACTACAGCGTCCCTGTGGCATTTCAGATTGACTTACCAGCATCTTGACGTGGTATCCCCATAGCAGACATGAGAAGCTCTCCCACATGTTGCTCATTAACGAGTCACCAACAAACGCGATAGTCTGGCGAGCACGCACGCAAAAAACACGCACACACACAAGTACATAAGAGAATAAAAGCAGAGACGAAGCCCTTTTCGGGCTGAACACTCCAGCTCCCTCCCTTCAATTTACCAGCCTACATTTCACTTTTATCATACAACCCATTATCCCCTCCCCTCCCTCACGTCGCCTAATGTTCAAGCAACTTCAAACATCCATACCGCCGTTCTCCCCCACCCCACAGTCTCCCATTTGCCGCATTGCCGCAACCCTCAACAACCCTGTTTTTCCACCACTCTCGACCCATCCCCGCCACCCCTTGCGAACCTTGTTAGCCATGAGCTTCTGGAATCTGGCCGCGTTAAAGTACTTCATCGCGCAATAGCGGGGCGACCACTTCTGCTTCTCCCACTGCCGGTCGCCCCGCCCATTGTCTCTGCAGTCGAAGATCTCGCGAATGTACGGACAGCCCCTGTATCGAGGGTTCGTCTTGGAGTATGTCCACTCGCCATCGCTATAGTCACATTTGGCTGAAGTACGTAGCCGGAGAGGGCCCGTGGAAAACGGGAAAAGGAATGAGGGAGTGAGCAGGATGAGAAAGCATTATGAGAAGCACTGCGAGAATTAGAAAGAGGGGATGCATTTTAGAATGTGCTCGCAAACGGTTTAAAGTTGTTCTGCGCCAACCCTCACAATTCCACTGGCAACGAAAGAACAGAATGCTGCGAAAACACGCGAAGTGCGCACGAGAGGTACGTGCGCACGTGCCAGATGATACAGACGTCCCGGCCACGTGAGTGCACAGGTGATTGTCAAGCTCCCTCATCCAGAGCGCTTTTTCAGAGCGCTCATTCAGACGTTACTCACGGCTTGTTGGTTGTGGAAGCGCGGGTTGGCTTCTGCAGGTCGCCACCCATGCAGCGAGCACCAGCGCAAGTAACGCCACGTGGAAAGCGGTGGAGTTCGAGAAGATTCGACTGGAATGCATCAAATAATGGTGGTGGCGAGAATCGATGGTTTGATGGGCAGCCATGGAATGGCGCGAGGAGACGTGTCTACAGTCGGAGTATCTTTCGTGACGATCGCGCTGATAAACACAAATGCTGAAGAGCGGCATCAAGTGACGCTTCTTGTGACCTTCACGAGACGTTCCTGCGACGTTCGGTTCCGGGCTTCGTGTGACGCGGGCCGTCGTAAGCTTCAGGGTGCACGGTTGCAGCGCCGTCGCAGGTTAGGTCGAACGGGAGGGTCCGTCGTCGCTCTGAGGCATGCGACCAGATAAACGTTGTTGCTACTCAAGGACGCATGAAGACCTTCAATAGTGGAATTTGGGAGCGTAAGAAATAGCCACATCAGTTCTTGTAAAGAGTGGCTGGGAAAGAGTGAAAAATGGTGCAGATGGGTGCTGGTTTTGTTTTCTCTGGTCTTCGCTTCACAGCGCCGGCTTTGCACGATGCGATTACGGCTGGCAGCGTGAAGCACGTAACAGATGCCAGGGTGAAGCTGTTATGTGATGGAAAATTTCAACGTCGGTCTCCCTGTTTGCCCGATTGCTTCGGACCCCACGTGTTTTGGAACAATGACTGATTTAAACTAATGTTAAGAATAAGTATTATTCAGCTCATGCGGGCAACAGACATCTCAAAACAATGAAATATGCTCCAACGTCTGGGCAACTCGAAAACAGTCATTTTGGGGGCAAGCTGTTTCGAGCCTCTATTGGGGAAATGCGGTCCGATGTTCGAAAGAGATGCGACACGATCCGAGGGCAAGTATTCCCGCCCTGGGTTTTTCGTGCCAAACCTCTCAGTTGCACCAATCAAGTCCCGTAGAAAAATTCCAGGTCAACATCAGTGGGCTGGCGGCCTGGGGCTGACGAGGACCAACAAACCCGTTCTGGTGAGCTCTTCGCGCTGTACAGTAAGTTCCGTTTCTTTATGTGAACTTGTATGAAAGAGATGCCTAAACCATTTAGCAATACATGAGAAAATAACTAGGAGGAAATATTAATATTTTATGACAAATAAGTTCAACCTAGTTACTGAAGACAAAACAAGAGGCGACGGAAGTCGTCGTAGGGTTGCGAAGCTTTTTCTTGAGGGGATTACTAGTGGGAAGTGTGAAATTGGAAAAACAATCGCTAAAATAAATTCTTGGGAAGGTGATGTCCAAAAGATTCAAACCTAAGACCATTCGGATCTTATTTGACATTCAATTGACTGAGCTACTACCCTATATCGGTACGCGCGTTTTAACTTGATCTGAAATATTAATACTACGAAGTTTGCATTCACTAGGGTTTCATTTCTTCCCTTTTTTTCTCGCTGCTTCCTCTTGCTCGCTTACTCTCCCCAGCAGCAGACGCTAGTTCTTGCTTGTCTTCTCTCCTAGACACACTGGTATGTTCGTTTTTTCCCTAGATTGCATCTTCGTCAGCTCAAGTATATAGTTGTCGCGATATAGTTCCCTTCAATTTCGTTTTCCAGCTATGACACTTTTTGTTTTTCTGGTCGTTATTTCGTTTTCTCAACTTTGATTTCCACCTCATTGCTCAGTAACGTAGCCGTTTTCCTTATTCCTTTCTCTTCCGTTTTTACTCGTCGTAGTTTTCGTGCATACTCTATTTTCTACATTTTCTCGTTCTCTCTCTCTCTCTCTCTCTCTCTCTCTCTCTCTCATCTCTCTCTCTCTCTCTCTCTCTCTCCTCTCTCTCTCTCTCTCTCT